TGCTTCTTACAGCTCTTCATAGGCTTTGGGTTCCCATACGAAGGTCCTGCCCCTTTGGAAGCCATAGCCAATGGTTGTGTTTTCCTGCAGTCTCGTTTCAATCCACCACACAGCTCCCTCAATCACGAATTCTTCCGGGGGAAGCCTACATCAAGAGAGGTAATTTTGCTTACATGATTCTGCAATATTGAACAATGACAATATATCAGATAGCCACATTGTTTGCTTCTGGATTTGAAGTAGAGAAGGGGATCAGCTGCAAAATTCAGATATTGATCAAAGCCTCCTCCAGTTTCAAGAGAATGGTACCTAGGATAAATGTAATATTTTGCCCTCTCCATCTTAACTGCCTGCCAAGATCTGGGGAACTGAGATAACCTGCAATCTGGGTTTAGTTCTCAGTTTTACAAAATAAAACCTGAGCAAAGAGACTTTTGCCAAAAACTCATGTAACTTGGCCACAGCTTGACCCCCTCGTTCCCATGTATTGGATTGAAATTCCCAGGAAAATTTGGGCCTGAACTCAAAATAGGAATGAAGGTTGTTTTGCAGAGGGAAATAAAACCCACCCTCTTGGGCTTGTCCCTTGCTACAAATGCAATCTGAGTGCAGCGGGAACTCTTTCAAATTTAAAAGGTTGAGAAAATTGAACCTTGTATTATTAATAAAGTGGATAAGGGGATGTAAATCTATGCTTCCCTGTTGAGAAATTTCTCCCACTGGCCACACCAAGGAGCTCAATCTCTGTTTTTCTTTCAGACAGATTAGACTCAATCATAAAGCACCCTCTCTTCTCTCCCCACCTCCACTGCTAGCCCCTTTTCTGCCTGTCCTCAGACTGAACTGCAGCAGCTTTCCCTTTCCTGAGCAGTCAGTCCGTTAGCCATTCTTACAGTTTGGTGGGTGCCCACTCACATCCCATTTATCTCACTGACCTGTGGAGACAGAGAAAGGCTGCTGTAATTAGCTCCTGAAACATTAATTCTCCTCGTGTGCCGCCTGTCCATTACCCCAACAATACTGTAACTTACATTGCTATTGGGAGGGCTTGACATGGTCCTTAACAACTTGCTGAAGGCTGTCAGAGGCAAACAGTTCCTAAAAAGAGTGTACATGTGTATGCGTGAGACAGAAGACTTACTGCTGCTCATTTTGTTTCATGTCTTAAAAGAGCCAAGCCGGCCATCCTGAGCCACTCTCGCTAGGGAGAAGCATGACCGGAAAAAGATACAACTCATTCCTCTGCGTATTCACCTTTGAGCCTTCTGGGGAGTGTCCAGGGAGGTCTTGGGTTTTATAGTTTGTGTTTGAGTCTAGCTGGTTGGTTGATTTGTTAGAAGAATGAGAGGGTTAATTCAGACTGAGCCTCTTGCTTGTGAGAGAGATGGCCCTGCCTTTTGGTTCAGCTGGTGCTGTATCCTCTTTAGCCCACTGCCAGGTTTACTCAGCTCTCGTTCTTCAGGGAGTTGAGAAGTGAGCGTTGTGCTGCACTCTGAGGATGACAAGTGACACTGTCTCAGGCCTGCTGTTGAGAAGCCTCCCACTGTGGCAGCAGGGTCGTTTGACTCTATATGCTGAACTAGAAGTGGATTTGGAAAGTCAGGCTCCCTCCAGAAAACAGCAGAAATGTTGAGGATGCACACATAATGTTGAGGTGATGTTGTTGCCATGATGGTCCAGGAGGTATAGGAGAGGCAAGAATTCTTGTGGGTGATACAATTTATTGGATCAACTGAATGGTTGATATAGATATAGGCAAGCTTTCTTATATCACAGCACCCTTCCTCAGGCCTCACAGTGTGTAAGTGGAGAAATCTTCTTCCCTCTCACTTAGCACTAGCCCAAGAATGGACAAATCAGAGTGGCTCTTGGTTTTGGAAAACCTTGATAATTAAGGTGCATCTGGGACTGGTTCCTATTTGAGTTGGATTTTCTCTAATTCACTGAGATAGAGATTTTTGTGGCTGCCAAAAAGATTTCAACCCCCAGTTCTCACGAATATTAATGTGAATGGGGTGTCTAGATTCATTAGATAATTGTATAATGTTTTAAATGTTTAGAGGGTGGGGAGTATTTGGATTAAATACTCCACCTTGGGCCTATCTTGTCCTTCAGTAGCTTTTTCACCAGTGTCCCTACTGCCGTTATCTCACCCCTCCCAGTGCTTAGCTGCAGGGGGGTCATTGCTAGTGTTACAGCACTTCCTTTACAGAATGTGAAGCAGTTGGTATTTGTTTCATTTTTCAGGTATCCTCCCAACACCCCTATGTTGAGGACTTCATAGGGAAGCCTCATGTATGGACAGTGGACTACAATAACTCCGAGGAGTTTGAAGCTGCCATCAAAGCAATTATGAGGACCAAGGTAATTCCTGGCACAATTCATTAAAACAATGAGAGAACCTCATCCATTGTTGAGCATGGCCAGCCAGTTTTCCAGGAGTTAATGGCACAAGGAACTACTAGCAGCCCAGTTGTCCCTATGAGACTTCCCCAGCATTTGGAGTCTTTTCTTTCTAGTTGCGTCATAAAATGTTGTCATGTGCTAGCCAGGACTCCCAGGATCCTGTTCTTGAGTTTCAGTGGGGCTTGTGTTCCTAAATCACCCGAGCTCAGACCTTCAAAGGTGTTCCAGGCACCAGGCACAAAGGTATTCAAGGCCTGGGCCCCAGGCTTTTCTGGAGCTGAGATAAGTAAAATCTGTATAGTTAGTAGGGCTGTGCAAAGTTTGGCCCGCTGTTTCGTTTTGACACTGTTTTGACTCATTTCGAGCTTGAAACAGCAAAATCGAAATGAAACGAAGGGCTTCAAAACAGCCTCGAGATGTTTCAGCTGCCCTTGTTTCATTTTGAAACTTTCAGAACGTTTTGAGTTTCAAACCTGAAGCTGGGCTTGCTTGCAGGGAAACGGAAAGTAAGAAGAGGGAGGGGGAAGAGGGAGGAAGGACCTCTCTGATACTGACTGTGACTGTTTGGCTGCCTGAGCTGCTGCTGGTGCTACTTACTATGTTATTACCTGTTGTCATTTAAAGGGGTGGACTGGACGGAGGCTGTAGGGGAGGAGGAGACCTCATTGGGGCACGCTACCGTGTTGTGTAGAGGCTTCAGTGCCCGTGAGGGCGTACCTTAACCCACACACACGCATGCATGCACGCGCATGCGCGCGCACACACACACACACACACACACGTCATGAGTTTTGCTTGTCAACAGCTTGAGGTGCAGTTTCCCAGAAACCCCTGCACCTATCTCCTTGAAACTTGGTAGGCTTTGTGGCCTCCACAGGGGTTACCATCCCTGCAGTTCCCCCCCACCCTTGACTTCACAATTACAAGTGACATAAGTTTTGCTTTCAAGAATTTGAGGTGCAGTTTCCCAGAAACCCCAACACCTATCTCCTTGAAGCTTGGCAGGCTTCATGCCCTCAGAAGGGTCTACTATCCCTGATGTTTCCATCCAAATCTGCCATAAAATGACAAAGTTATAGGCAGTTTTGTGCTTCCCCATTATATCCTATGGGCGAAACGTCAAAACAGCGTCGAAACAGCAAAACAGTTTTGACTAAATGAAATGGAAGAGTGGTTTCGAAACAAAACTCAACACTGGCCCAGTGAAGCGGAAGTTGAAACAAAACAGTGCTGTTTCCCACAGCCCTAATAATAGTTAATCATTTGAAGGCTCATCTATCAGTTCTGAGTCCTTGCTATGGGGAGCCCAGACTTTGCAGTTCTGTCTCAGTTCCAGTGTAGGCCTTCAGCTGTAGATGACAGAGGTCAACCTAGGGACTGGGTGCTACGCTCTTACATATTTGGGTACATCACTGACATTTCTCCACGGCAGAAACTGAACTTTGGAACGTCTTTCAATTAATGTCCCCTCTTCAACTCTTCCTCATCATCTCTTTCCCCACTCGTCAGAGAGTTAACCCTTTCATGCAACCAGGATGCATTCTTCCCATCATGACCCCTCTTTCCAGTGCTGGGATATTCAAAAAGCATTAGCTACCACTGACTCTTCCCCCATTCAAGGAGACAGTTTACTTTGTCTGTCCCATATCTCTCCATGCGAGTGCTATAAGAGCTACAGATCACTTTTCATCTACCATTTCCCTGCCACTTTTCATTTGACTATTAATTATTGTGATCTGTTAAAGAACAATTCAATAACAATAGGAAAATCCCCATGTTCCCTTATTTTTTTTTAAGCAATACAGCAAAAAAAAAAAAAAACCTTTGAAAGATGCAGCACCTACTTTGTAAGCTGACTTGGAGACTTAAAAACATACTCATCATGAATATTTACCTCTCTGGCAGCAGGAGCCTTTCAAGTTGTCCAAATTATTAAAGTCAATTTTCCTAGAGGGGATAAAAGTGCTGATCTCCATTTTGCTCGCAATTTGCTTTGGGTAGGATAAGGTGTCCCTGTTGTTACAAAGACGATATACCACAAAACAGCATCTTAATAAATCATGGTTTGGGTCTGGCACAGACTGACAGGAGTCAGAAAATTCTCTAGCTCCTTCAGAGGGGGTGTTTTGGGGAGAATTTTTGAAGTAATGTCTATGCAGTGAGGCAGCATTACGCCGAGATACATGAGCTCCCTCTGCACATAGCCGCTTCCAAAACAGAGATAGTACAGTTGTATCCCTGCAGTGCTGTGCTTAGGAAAATAAACTCAGCTGCTGAGAAGATCTTCTTAGCAAAGGACTAGTCCTTTTGAACAACCATTTGAAGAGATGTTCCTCTGTTCTCTCAGCTGCTGAGGCCTGAAACTAGGGCAGCCTGATTTCCCCGCATGGTTTGATGGCACCACTGGCATCCAAAGCTGAGGAACCCACATTTCCTGATCTCACTGCATCACCTGTTTCCCATGCTTTGAGGGTTGGCTGTTGTCTTTGGGAAGCACGAGGCAGCCTGAGGGCAACACATGGTGAAGGCAGTCAAAGGACTACCTTATATTTCTTGGCTGGTGACTTCTCAAACACTGATCCAGAACTGACTGAGGAATGCCAAGCAATAGATACTTGAAGCCAGATCTGCTGGTATCAATCTGCATAACTCTATAGAAGTCCATGGAGCTACACTAACTGGCACCCACTGAGCATCTGCCCCTTTATTTCCTCTCACTGAAGCACTTTCTGAGCCATTCCTCTGCTGGTACCAGGGGTGCTGAAACCCAGTGGTTCCTGGCTAGAGAGCCTTGCTTTTCTACTCAGGGTTATACCAGTAGCCAAATGTGGGGTCAAGAAGGATATTTTTTTCTGTGGGTCAGGTTGGCACAGACTACGAGAGGTCTGCTTTCTTCTGTAGCATGGGGCATGATCCTTGGCCTGTGGTCTTCTGAGCATGTATTACCCACGACTTGCCAGCTAGTGAAGTGGCAGAGCACTGGCACCACTCTCACCTCTCCTGCTTTTACCTATGCCATGTTGTAGGGGGTTCCTGGTGATTCTGGTGTCTTGCCTTGTTAGTTGTATGCGAGGTCTGAAGCGGTGAGTACTGTGCTCCTGTGTACATGCTAGGTATTCGTAATCCTCTGACAACAGGGTCTTCCCTCTCATAGATGAGTGGACCCCTATGGGAAAGTTTTTTATTAGCTGAGGCAAAAATAGAAACAAATGGCAGGTGTTCTCAGCTGCCTTCTGGGAGCAGGGGGATCCTTGCTGGAAGCAGCATGAATGAACTCATGTCCAGTCAATTGTGGTTTCCCTTACTGAGCTCTCTTGGCTACGTACAAACAGTCTGGAGCAACCCTTGGCTGGACTGGGCAGCACATGCAGCCAGACAGGGGAGAGAAGTCATAAGGAGCAGCAGAGTTGACCTAAGGCTGTTCCTGATTGCTTGCCAGACTGCAAAATTGGTTCAGCCACCTGCTCCTGGGGCAGGTTGCACAAATTCCCATGGTTTATCGAGCAGTGGACGGCCCTACCTGCAACCCTGTGAAGCCAGTGGGAATAGTTGGGTTCCCCCTTATACCTCCACCCCACCATGGGAACAATTTCTAAACAAGGGTCATGAGAAAAGCCTTCTAGCAGCCTCTTAAAAAGAAGGGCATAGATACATCTTCATTATGTTGCTTATTACTAGGTTGATATGTCTATAGTACTGGGAAAGACTGAACAAGGAAGAGATAAGGTGAGATGAGTAGGAAGAGAATGACTTGTACTAACTGAGGTGACTAAATGCACCCATAAAAGACTAAAAACTAAAAGAGTGGCCTAAGTATTTGGGAAGGGCCCCAGGAAACAGAAATAAACCTTCCATTATGTGTCTAGAGCAGTGATTCTCAACCAGGGTGCTGAGGCACCTTGGGGTGCCCCGAGATCCTTTGAAGGGTGCCATGAAGTATGCGGAGCTAAGCAAGGTATGTGGATATAAGCAGGTAAGTGCAGAATTAGGCTTGTCCCTGCCTGGCCAATCCCCCAGCCTCTCTTCAAGGAGGTGTAAGCACTGTAATAATTAGGTCAGTTTTTGAAATTGAGTGCTACTCAATTTACAAACTTATGGAGGAGGGTGCCTTGAGTCCATCGGGGAGTACCTCAGGTCCAAAAAAAGTTGAGAGCAATTGGTTTAGAGGCTAGAGCATCTAACTCACTGCAAACCATTGATATGTAGTCCCATATAAACAGTGCTCCAGAGAACAGCAGAAAGGGCTATCCTGTAGCCAGCACTCTTCCTGGAATTACCACACATACAAATGGTCTTTCCTTGCTCTGGAGCTGACAACTAGCTGGCATTGTGACACCATTAGACATGGAAGCAGAGCTGCCGGTCTCCATATGACAGCTTGTTGGAAGTGAGGTCCTTGGTAACTATTTATGCAGATTCAAAGGGCACAGCTTGCTTTGGTCTGGCCTCATCTCTGTTCTTCCAGAAGATTGCAAAGAACATAGTGAGCCACCTTATAGAGATATTTGTCATTTTTGTGCCTCCATAGCAGAATCTCAGTTAAAATTAAATTAAAAATAATTATGTCCCTGCTGCTGGGCTGCCTACCCAGCTGTCACCGAAAATTGCAGCAAACGGCATTGATTGACCCAGCGCCATCTGTGCTGGTGAAATGTTCCGAAAGAGAGGGGAACACAGCTGCTGAGCTGGTGTTTAAAGGCTATCTGCATCGCATTCCCTGCATGTAGCATAATGGCTTAATGGAGGTCATGTCTTTCCAGCAGCCGTGCAGAGTCAGCAACAAACCATGGGCTCTAAAAAAGAACCACCTCTCCATCCAGCCATGTAAGAGGCCTTACCTCTCTGCAGAAGGACAGTGATAGATGGTCCTTTCCTTTCTGAATAGTTAAATGCATGGGATATGGGTTTAGTGTAGTAGTCTTTGGGGGTTTTTTTGGAATGTGAGTTTGATTCCCTGT